TCATCACTTATGCCTCAGACTTCATTTTAGTTTGTTCCCTCCCTTTCATTTTTTTTTAAAGATTTTAATTATTTATTATGTATACAACATTCTGCCTCCACACCAGAAGAGGGCACCAGATCTTATTATGGATGGTTGTGAGCCACCATATGGTTGCTGGGAATTGAACTCAGGACCTCTGGAAGAGCAGCCAGTGCTCTTAACCTCTGAGCCATCTCTCCAGCCCCTTTCATTTTTTTTTTTTTTTAATGGAGACTGGGTCTTACTATATATCTCTGGCTGTGCTGGAGCTCACTAATATACCAGGGTGACCTAGAACTCACAGAGATCCTCCTTCCTCTGCCTCCCAACTGCTAAGATTAAAAGTCTATATCCCAAGCCAGGTTTGTTCTTCTCTATTTTTTGGGGGGGGTGTCTTGAAACCCCCCCCAAAAAAGAACTACCCATTTTCTTCAGTGTTTCTCTGAGAGTGTCCTACACACTATAAGGCCTTAATAAACATGTTTCGATTGATTTTTCCCTTGGAACGTGGTATGCAAACTGTATAGCTATTCTACCAGTCTTCAACATCTGTGCCTGTGCATGCTCATAGGGAGAGGGAGCGATAGTAAACACTAGACAGGAACCTGGAGGTCAGAGCAATCTAAGCTGCAGAACCCAATCTTGTGTGGATGACTGTCCCCTGATGCACCACATACATGAGTTAGGGAATATCACAGTACTTATTCCAGCTAATCTTCCAGGGTTATTTGGAACGCTGTAAGACATCATAAAGCACCTAGTGAGCATGATTTAGTCCTCATAAAATGCGGCCAGAAAAGAGGATGGAGAGAGTACTGAAGTGTGTGTGTGTGTGTGTGTGTGTGTGTGTGTGTGTGTGTGTGTGTGATACAAATCAGTTGATAGAATTCTTGCCTAGCACAGGTGAATTCTTGGGTTTGACGCTGAACTCTGGAACTGGTGTTCTTCTACTATTTCCAGTAAACTAGATGTGGTGGTCAATGCCTGTGACCTCAGCATTTGGGGGTGGAGGCAGGAGTATAGCTAGTTCAAGATCATCCTTGGCTACATATTTAGTCAGAGGCCATTTGGGGCTACATGAGACCCTGTCTCAAAACAAAGAGATAGAATTAGCCCATTGATCATGGTTGAGCTGGCCCCATGACTTTGATCTTAGTTTTTGGAGGAAAATGGATTTTTATTTGTTTGTTTGCTTGTTTGGTGGCTGGAGAGACAGCTGTGGGTGTCGGGAATTGAACTCTTTCATTTTTGGTTGTGAGCCTGGCTGGCCTTTAATGGCTGATCCATCTCTCCAGGCCAGGAAAATGGATTTTATATACTGAGCTAACTGTTGGTTTTTAAGTGTCTCTAAAAATATTATTACATTATTTTGTGTGTGTGTGTGTGTGTGTGTGTTTGTATGTAGGTGTATACATGCCATAGCATGCATGTGAAGGTCAGGGGGCAATTTTCCAGAGTTGATTCTCTCCTTTTACCATGTGGGTCCTAGGGATCAAACTCAGGTAGTCATGGTTTGGCAACCAGAACATTTATCCACTGAGCCAGCCCCTGAGTGTTTCTAGGAAGCTGATATTTTTTTTTCTTCTGTTTTCTATCTATCTTTAACCTGTGCCATCAACTATGCCTCAGACTTCTGAACACCTAAAGCTGTAATCAGACTCCCTGCCTCACCCTTGTCTTGGCCCGGCCTTTATCTTATCTGAGAGTTCCTGTCTCTTCTCACTCTGGCCTCTCTCTGATCCCTTCCTCCCACTCACGTGGAAGGCAGCTATTGTCCTACAGAACCAAATCTGATGGACCATTTCTGCTTTAAGTATCTCTCTCAGGTATCCCAGTCTGTGTCAGACACCTCCAGTTCATCTGTCTAAAGAGGGAAGCTGGGTGGTGATGCTGTTGCAGCTGGATGAAAGATACTGGTGAATTGTGATGGGCAGATTGGTGGAAAGGATTTGAGAGCTAATATAGAAAAAGAAAGTCTCTCTTTTGTGTCTTTTAGTCATATATGACGTAACAGTCATCACTATAAATCATCTACTAATTTATACAACAAACACCTATGAGGTGTTTCCATGTGATAGGGTGCCTCCATTCTAGGCACTGTAAATGTAAGGGAATGGCAGGCAGTGGTGGCACATGCCTTTAATCCCAGAATTTAGGAGGCAAAAGCAAGTGGTTCTCAGTGAGTTTGAGGGCAGCCTGGTCTACAGAGTGAGTGCCAGGACAGCCAGGACTACACAAAGAAACCCTGTCTCAAAAAACAAAAAAAACAAAATAAAACAAACAAACAAACAAACAAAAAAGGTAGGGGAACAATAGACACAGGCTCTTGTTTGGACTAGGGAAGGCAGAATGAATATAACACTTAAAAAATAAGCTGGGTGTTATGGCACATATCTTATATCTCACCACTTGGGTGTGGCGGCTGAGGCAGGAAAATCTTTTATTTATTTATTTATTTATTTATCTTTCTTTTATTTATTTATTTATTTTGAGACAGGGTTTCTCTGTGTAGCCTTGGCTGTCCTGGAATTCACTCTGTAGATCAGGCTGGCCTTGAATTCAGAACTCTGTCTGCCTCTGCCTCCTAGTGCTGGGATTAAAGATGTGAGCCACCACACCTGACTGTAAAAATTGTTTGACAGTCATTCTTAGGAGTTTGAATTTTACTTGAAGACTGGAAACTACTAATGGTTTTAAGCCAGAAAAAAAAGACTATCTGAGATATATATATATATATATATATATGTATGTATGTATGTATGTATATATATATATTTTTTTCTTATCTGTCTGTCTGTCCAGGGTCTCAAGTAATCCAATTTGGTCTTGAATTCCTGACTCTTCTGCCTTCACCTCCCCAGTGCTGAGACTACAGCTGTACACCACCACACCCAGCACTGGTTTGTATTTTAAACAAGTCTCTTTAGCTCCAGAGTGAAGGAGAGATCATAACGGTCAAGCCAGAGGTAGTTAAAAATGGAAGCTAAGTGATATAAAATGGGCTCTGGTGGAGTCACTGGTACCTTGGCCCCGAGGGTCTGGCCTCTGATAAGTTAGACCATTTGCTCACTGACCGTGTGAATAAACGTGACAGTGAGTGGCAGAAAGGAATCATGGATGGTGATGCCTTTTTGGGGGACAACTGATAAAGGGAAAAAGTTGGGAAGAAAGTTAAGTGCAGCCTTGGTGCATGTTAAGTGTGAGATATTAGTCACCTCAGCAGGGGTGACAAACAACAGTTGGCTAAGAAAGCCAGAAGCCCAGGGGAAAGACCTTGCTTGTAGATTTAGGTTTGTGAGTTACCATGTGTAGACAGTGTAACTGCTAGTGACAGCACCGGAAGGGATCACCCATAGAGGAAATAAACGAACTACATCAGAGACTGTGGTGGAAGGCAGCTCAGCAGAGAAAAAAGGGCTGGGGTGTACCTCAGATGGCGAGTGCTCTTCTAGCATGCCCAAAGCTCCAGGTTTAATCCCCAGCAGTGGCACATGCCACTCGAGTTGGGGAAGGAGCTTGTGGAGTGAGGTTAGCTGGAGCTGGTCGAGTTCGTGTCCTATGCTTACCCTTCTCCATCAGCACCAGCCTCATGTCACCTGAGATGCTATTTCAATATTCAATATTCAATATCTACTCATATATGTATGTATACCTGGAGTCTGGTGTCAGGCATGAGTTGAGGTGGAGACTTGGGCTCTTCTCAGCGTCTATAAACCATTCCACACTAGAGCCTAGGACCAAACAGTTACAGACTCAACATCTCACTTTCTCCTCCCTCTTATCTGTCCCAGCTACTGACAAGGTTTCTCTCCAGCCCTTTACTGGTTTCTAGAAAGGCTGGATAATATAATGGCGAAGAGAATTCCTTTTCAGACTGAGACGTGTTCCTGACTTCACCTACCACTTGTTAGCGATGTGACCCTGGGCAAATCTCATTAACAGCACAGCGCCCGGTTCCTTAATCTGTAAAACGGGGTTAGTTAAACCCTTATGCTATTGGTATGATGGTTACGAGGGGCTGACTTTTCTAAGAGCTGGCTCATGTCGCTTCGGGGATGCAGGGAGCCACAATCAAGATGCTTCTTCAGACTTGTGACAGGGCAGTGGCAGCCCCTCACATGATCCGCAGATACCAGACTGTGTCCTTGTCCGCCCAGGGCGTGTGTTGGTGTTAATCACTTGTCTTTCCAGTCGCCCAACATCTCTTGGGTCCGCGATCACGCGCCCCCCACCCGAAGCGGAGCCTGACGCGGCGGTGGCTCATGCGCCCTAGAGTCCCAGGCCCTTGCCACGGAACACACGTCCCATCCCTGGCGCAGGGCTCCGCCCCTAGCCTCCGGCGCGCCTCTCCGGCCGCCTGCTCCGGTGTCTGAGCGGCCGCGCCCGCGGGCTTTGGGCACTCATTGGCTGTGGATCGCGGGCGGGCAGCCGGAGAGCTCACACACCCTCTTCCCGCAGCCAATGAGCGCGCTCACGTCACTGTCCGGGCCGGCCTAAAGAGCCGGCAGCCCCTCAATAAGCCACATTGTTGCACCAAACTCCAGAGCCGGAGTCCCAGGACACCACACGCTACGCCGCGTAACCCAGCTAAGGAGATCCAAGGGCGGGAGCATCACGCCAGTGACCGTGAGAGCGCGATCGACGGAGTGGAGCAGCGTTGTCATCCTTCCCAAGTTGAGTTTTGGTGACCGTGTGGCTGAAGTTAGTGACTAAACTCTAGGCAACTAGACCCGTCTCCAGGAGTGAGACGTAGGCACTTTCTAGTAGTTGTGACTAAAAGAAAAAAAAAAAAAGAAAGAAACTTGTTTCTGGAGACTCGGGGCCCCCAGCTGGTGGTGAGCCTTCGTGGTTAACCTTCTTTGTGCGGCTCCTGGAGTCTTCGATCTCAGCCGGACGCCCGGGCCTGGGTACAAAGCGATCGTACAGCGTGCGCTCCCCCGCTAGTGCTCAAGCCTCGGGCCCCGTCTCGTCGCAGCAGGATGATCGCCTCACATATGATCGCCTGCTTATTCACCGAGCTCAACCAAAACCAAGTGCAGAAGGTAAGTCAGCACGGGCGGGGGAGGCTGGCTCGCTTAGGACCGAGTTGCGTGCTCTCCGGGAATCTGGAGCGCGTAGGGGATCTGCTTCCTCCTCCTTCGGGGCTGGGGACGTGGAACCAGTCTGGGTAGCTGGAAAAGACCTGGGCACGAGAAGCCACGTCTGCTAGGCACTCCCGGGGCCGGGACGCGCGCCCTCCCCACACTTAGATCCCCTGGTTTCTTGAGGGGCGGGGCGCCCTGCACGTAGTCTGAGGCTGCTGCGCCCACGTGGGAGGAGCCCCCTTCTGCAGCCGGAGTTCCGGCAAGAGCACGTGGGGAAGAATCCCGTGTAGGGGAGGAGGCGCGGTGGCAGTGGGTGGCAGCCCGGGCCCGGCCCTCTGGCACTTAAGGACTCGTTGGAGAGGCCATCGGTTCCTCGTGGCGCCTCTTGGAGGTGGATGGGGAAAAAATAAAATAAAAGAAGCCACCCAGGAAGGAGCGGGAAAGGGAGCAGAAAGACTGGCTCGCTGCGCCCCCTCCCCGGAACTGAACTGCCCGGAACTGAGGCTCGAAAGGGGCGCCCCCTCACAGCAGATCTTCCTGGGGACCGCCCCGCCTCTCGTCCCCGCGTCCGGCCTCCGAGTTGGGGCCGGATTTTGGATAATACTTTTTAGTTTGCTACTAAAAGTTACCCGGAGTGGACTCACCTTCCCACTCCAGGATTCCCTGAGTTCTTTTGATTTGTTTCTTGGCTTCTGAAAGAGAACCTTCGTCGCTCACACCCTCCTGTGCCCACCTCACTGCAGTCTGGGCGAACCCGAGCTCTGCGTCGCACGGCGGGTCATTTACATGAGAAAGAGCCTCGGGCCCTGCCTGGAGCCTCACTCACTCTCTCCGCCTCGGGCTAGGGAGGTGGGGGTGGACCAGAGCCAGGCTCGAAGCGCTCTAACTCCCGGGAGAATTGAGTTTCTAAAATGCCCAGGATTACGGGATTGGTTCCTGCCCTGGGCCCTAGTCCAAGATTTGAGGGAGGGAATGGTCTAGTATTGGGGCGGGGGAGGTGTGCTGTCCAAACGGTTGTGTTAGAGCTATGAGCCGTTGCTCAGTTACACACTTGAAATCTCAGTGTCTCGTGGGAGCAGATTTTAGGAAGTGCCCTGACTACGTCCTAGGACTCACCCCCCCTCCCATCCTCATGGTCCTGAGTGCGTAGGAGCGGATGATAGATCGCTCATGATGTATCCGGGGGCCCTGGCAGATGAGCCTCAGCCTGGAGAAAGGCACCTGATTTAGTTGAGTTTTTCTCTGTTGGTTGGTTCTCTCTAATCTCTTGGGATGTAGTCCTGCACTTTAATTCTGTTTATTTAGAAGCTTGTCTTTGGGCTGGCACGATTTTGCTGATTCCGATGGTCTTTTCTGTTCAAGATACGACAATCTCTTGGCAATTCCTAAAGCGTAAAGTGGAGGGAGGCTCCTTAATCCTAAGGGAGAGTGAATTTCCCTCCTGGACATACGACTTTTTACGAACTTTCTCTCCGGCGATGGGACTGTGGAAGTACAACAGACACCTTTAGGGGCATGCTAGGGAGTCACCTGTTCTTGGGAAAGGAAAGGGAATTGACAAGGGTGCATGGAAGTGAGGTGTTTTGTTTTTGTTTTTTCCTCCCGAGACAGGGCTTCTCTGCATTGTTTTGGAGGCTGTCCTGGAACTCGCTCTGTAGACCAGGCTGGCCTTGAACTCAAAGAGATCCGCCTGCTTTTTGCCTCCCGAGTGCTGGGATTAAAGGCGTGCTCCACCAATACCCCGCGTTGAGTTCTAATTCCTGTCTTGTGGCTTATTCACCGCAGGACCCTGAGCCTCTTGGGAGACCTATTTTCTCCTACAAGCTGCAGGTGACTGTGCCCATCCTGGTTTATTGTAACTTACTGGGCACAATATGAAAATCTTGTTCCTTTAGGCTTTTCTTTACTCTCCTATCCCCGGACACTTGGATGTATTTCCTCTAAATTACCAATAGGGGCAGAATCGAATCAGGCCTGTAACTTAAACCAGGTGTCGCATGGGATTTAGCCTCCCAGTTTAGATTCTGATCTGGCTTAGATGTGCAAAACAGTTTGATCCCTCTGCAGTTTGAGAAGAGATGCAGGGTGTCTTGGGAATGCCTCTGAGCTGAGGAGGAATTAGGAAAGATGAAACTCCAGTTTAATTTTGGAGTATTTCTTCTTCTTTTGGTTTTTCTTTTTTTGTTGTTGTTTGCGTTTTTGTTTGTTTGTTTGTTTTGAGACAGGGTTTCTCTGTGAAATAGTCGTGGCTGTCCTGGAACTGAGGACAGGGTTTGTTCTAAGCTCCTGACACAGGTTAAGTTAGCTCATGAATATTCAAATAACTTCCAGAGATGAGCATGAGTGTTCCTTATTGTATTGGCAAGGAACTGAGGTCAAGATTAAGTTGTTCAAGATCACTTAGGGGCTTTGTTTTTTGGTGAGGTTTTTTTTTTTGTTGTTGTTGTTGTTTTTTTTTTTTTTTTTTTTTTTTTTTTGTAAGAACACCAGGATGGTTTCTGCTCTTTTTGATAAGAACATCTTGTTCTTGTCTGCCCTGGGAACATTAGACTGTAGTGTTCACTTGTGGTGCTGGGAACACTTTCCACCAGTGAGACAGACGGGTAACTGGCCCCCGTTTTGGTTTGAGCAACAGCATTGGTGCCTACTGGATCTTCCCTAGGCCCTGGATTCCTTTTTACCTTTTCTGTGGGTTCCTTCCAGACATCATAAGTCTCCCAAATTCTGGTTTAGGAGCTAGACTGCTGTATTTCAGGAGCCTTCTACAACTCTATCAGCTAGCTACCCCTCATCCCAGTTTCGTTTTCCTTGCAACTTTTCATTTCCCAAAGTTGAAAGCCACGGGTCCTCTGTCAAGGCCGGTTCTCACTAGGCCTCTCTGCCCTGGCCCTCTGGGGTGGGGGTGGGGGCTGATGGTGAATGAAGCCCAGCTTTTCTCTATGCACCTCTCCCAGTTGTATGTCTCCTCTTTCAGGCTTTCTATCACACACCCACCCTGTGCCTACATCTTTGCGCTTGAGCTTTGGTGGCATTAGTTTAGTTAGTCCCTCCAGTAAGGTTGGATTTGAGTTGGAATCCTTCCTCAGGCAGGGACAATCCTGGCTGTTCCAGTTGGTCACCAGTTCCGATCATGGATGGGGTGCTTAGAGTGTGTGTGAGAATGGAGGAGAGGCACTGGTGGAAGAATCAGGGATGGGTGCTGGTGTGTGGCGCGCGCGTGTGTGTGAATCCTTGGAGGAAAAGCAGCTCTCAGCCATTCTGTCACCTGAGGCTGCATGATAGGAGAGGAGACAGGGAGTGGTTGTGTTGCCTGTGTCAGGGCCTTGTGTCTTGTCCATGGAAAAAGAGAAGGTTTGTTTCTTAGGCAGTGAGAATCACAGTTAACTATAGGCATGAAATATATACCCCTTTCTTAGCCATGGCCAAAGTGTCTCACTACACTGAGAGGTGACATTTAACTCCAGTCTTGTAATAGGCTCAGCTTACTTAGGTGCCTTGCATGAGGATTTGAGGAAGTAGGAAGATTACTGGAAGCAAGGATCTTATGTAGCCCAGGCTAGCCCTGTAAGGGAGGCTCACTTTGAACTCCTGAGCTACCTGCCCTTACCTCCCAATGGCAGGAATGAACAGATAACATGCTTTTCAGAGCTGATCTTTTCTTCTTGAGGAGTTGACAACTCATTCAGCTGTTTTCAGGAGAGAAACAGACCATAGAGTTTAAAGAGGTGGTAGCTAGAGCAAGACCTGATACCTGAAACAAAACACCAAAGCCAAGCACTCCGGAGCTTCTGAAGACCTGCTCTTCATAAGAGGGTCCGTCCCTTTATGCTGGAATTTTGAAGTCAGCAAGTTTGGTTTGTTTTCGGACATTGTGTAGTTGGTCACTGCCATTTCAAAGCATCAGGCATTGGGCATGGCAAATCACCCCAGGTTTTATTGTTTTATTGGCTGTGCGGGTCCCAGCAGCACTTGCTTGGTTTGGAGGTGGTGCTGCAGTTAACAGCTTTCCAGCCGCGGTGCCTCAGACATTTGAGGCTAGAAAATCTTCTGCATGAGGGGCTATCCCATTCTGTCATTTAATTTGATTTGATTTTCCCTTTTTGAGACATAGCTCAGGCTGGCCTCCAACTCTCTACACAGCAGAGGATGACCTTGAAATTCTGATCCTCCTGCCTCTTCCCATGTGACACTGTTTCATGTGGTGTTGGAATCAAACTCAGGGCTTCATGAATAAGAAAGCACTCTACAGATTGAACTAGATCCCAGCTCCTCCCTCTTCCTTCCTTCCTTCCTTCCTTCCTTCCTTCCTTCCTTCCTTCCTTCCTCCCTCCCTCCCTCCCTCCCTCCCTCCTCTCTCTCTCTTTTTTTTTTTGAGGCAGGGTCTCGCTGTATACCTGACTTGCCTAAAACTGCTATGTAGACCAAGCTAGTCTGGAGCTTACAAAGATGCACCTATGTTTGCCTCCTGGATGCTAGGATTAAAGGTGTGCCCCACCAAACCCTCCCTTCCTTCCTTCCTTCCTTCCTTCCGACCTTCCTCTCTCCCTCCCTGCCTTCTTCCCTTCCTATCTTCCTAGTTTCACTGTAGCCCAAGCTGACCTAGAAATCTTAGTGATCTTTCTGTCTGGGCCTCTCAAGTGCTGGGATTGCTAGCATGAGCCACTGTGCCTTGCTAGCCCTCAGTTTTCAACAGTGTTGTCACATGGGAATCTGAGGAGGTTGTGAGACCATGCCCTTAAGCTAAAGCCCCCCTCCCCCATTCCTCACTGAAGGGCAGGTTCACAGGGCAGAAGCAACTAGATGCTTTGGGCAGTGCCCTTGTTCCAGGAAGCCACTGGGGAAGATTGTGCTCTCCAACGGGAGAATCTCCTGCTGGCCCTAGGGGAGCATCCCGTCACCTTCCACACAAGGTAGACATTTGATCTGGGGGGAAAGGCTGGTGACTCCCACACAGGGAC